CCGCAACCCCCGGCTGGGAGCTGGGGCCCGGACGCAGCCCCGGGCAGGGGAGGGGCGGACCGGGGCGGGGCGGCCGACGGGTCTGGGATTGGGGGTCTGGGCTAGGGGAGGGGTCTGGGGACCCGGTGTCGGCACCTCCCCCTGTCCTCGGCCTGTCCCCTCGCGCGCTCTGGGGGCCCGGACACGCGGGGATGGGGGACGCCTCGGGCAGCCTACTCAGCGGGGCGGGAGACCCTCGGCCGGGGCTTCCTGGACCGCCCGGCACGCCCGAGTCCGGGGGTGCTAGGTCTCCGCGGTGCGGCCGGCTCCGCTTATGCCTCTGGTTACGTGGCCTGTCTCTGAGCAGCCTACTGTGTGTCCTGTCCCGGCGGGTCTGCTCCCTGGAAGCGGCCGCTGAGCGTGTGAGCAATGGATGGCTGTGCGCCTGTCTCTCGCAGTGCGCGTCTGTGCAGCTCCCCCACATTTAGGCTGAGTACCCCTGCTCGCCGGTCTCTCCCGTCTCGCTCAGTCTCCAGGAAGGCCCTCCCTGCAGTCGAGTGATGCCTCCTTCCTCCCCCCCAACCCTTTATCACCATCACCCCTGCTCCTGTCCCACACTGTCTCCCGCCCAGCCTGAAGCTTGAGAGGAACCACGAGCCACCTATGGGGAAGGGGGAGCCCAGAGGTCCCTAGCAGGACCCATAGCCACTGCCGCCCCCAACACAGCAGGCATCAGGGGCTAAAATAAATATACAGCTTTTCCTGGGGGAAGTTTTTCCGGGTGGCCCAGCCTTTTCCCCTTTGGAGTCCCAATTTTTTTCGTTTGACAGGTATTTACGCACCTACTGGGTACTAGTACTAGGCATGGGCTGGTGCCTTGTGTCAACTGGGGTGGGGGGAGAAGGTAGGGACTTGTCTAAGCCTTTCCCAGCCCCTCACCTCATTGTTTCCCCCTGGGGCTTCTGGAAACTCCGAGCCACCGCACTACTTCTGTGGGAACAGCCTGGGTGTGCAGAGGTACTCTGGGACAGGTACTCTGAGGAGCAGGTGGAGCCACAGATGCCCTACCCAGCTGCTGCCTTCACCCACAACCTCCCCCTCCCCACTGGCCCTCCAAGGGGGGTTGGGGTGGGCTGGAAGGGTGGGGATGGTTCCAGGAAACCATTAGGCCACAGGAAGCAGGTAGGCCCTTGTCCAGCAGCACAGACAGGGTCTGCCTGCCTTCCCTGATTCTGTGCCCCACCTTTCCCTGTGTTCCACCTTTTCCCACTCCCTACCATAAATGCAAACACTGAGCAACGTATAGAAGGGAAAACAGAGTTAGAGGGCTTGTCCCAAGATCTTGTCCCTTCTCAGCCCACCTGTCACCCCCCTCCAGAAGACTTTGCTCTGCTCTTGCCCACACAGACCTGGAGGCAAGGACCATGTCTTACTAGCTCAGAAGTTGCAGCTCATGGCACAGAGCTGGGCAGAGTTTTTCTGCAGTTAAATGTTCACTGAGTGAATGAATGCATGAATAATGGGGACACTGACTGAGCATTTAGACTTCAGCCTATGTGCACCTTTCCCAGGGAGACTTGCCTTCACTTTCCTTTCAACAGATAAGCATCATAAGCACCACCATTTATTGAGCACTTGTGTATGCTAAAGGCCTGGCAGGCACTGTCTCCTCTCAACCCCACTGGGAGGTGGGTCCATTAGTGGGGAGAAAGCCAGGTGGGCTCCAGTGCCCACTGCCCAGGCAAGCCCTTTTCCTTCACTGTGTTCTTGTCTTAGAGGCCTGCATCGTGACTTACTGAATGCCTCTCTGCACTGCTCCAAACAGGCAAGGGTGATGTCTGTTTGCTCACCACCTTAACCTCATGCCCTGTACATAGTAGGCCCTCAAAAATGTTGATTTGTGTGTATTAATGAATGAATGAGTGAGTGAGTGAGTGAATGAATAGAGAGAAAGGCCCTCTCCCTATCATGGACCCAGCCCTCTGAAAATAAGTCTGATGAGAAGGGCAGGGAGCAGGTAGGGGTCAGGGAGGACAGCCCATCCAGTAGTGTGTTCATGGTCCCGGAGTCCCAGCCAGAGCCACTCTGGGCACCTGCCGCTCCCCTGAATCGGGGAGAGGGGCACAGCACCTGGCTCAGGCCAGCATTCGACTCTGATTATGGAATCCCCAGAAGATTCTGAGGGCTGAACCTCAATGATCTTCATCCACCTTCCTCCCTCTCCCCAGAGGAGATGGACATCCTGGGGCCTAAAGAGTCCGAGGTCAGGGCTGTCCTACCCTAACCTCCGCCACCGACCTTCCGCAGGACCAGAATTCCTTTGCATTTGGAGACCCTCCCGCAAACTGGGCCTTCACCCAATTCCTTGAGATTCTTCTCAACTCCCCCAAAGTCCGTGTCCCTGGGGGAGGGGGAAGACGGGAACACCCCGCAGCAGGCACCGGGGTCTGCCCCGGCACGCCCCGTGACTGACAGATGCAAATGTTCCCCAGGGACCCCGCAGGCCACTGTCTGCCCCCCTTGCTCACTCGCTCGCTGGCCTCCCGGCCAGCTCTCCTTCCTTTATCTTATCAAAGCCCCGTAATTACAATTGCTATTTTGTTTCCTCGAGTCTGCAATCAGAGCTCCCGGGCCCAGATGAGGGAGCGCCTGTCAACCTGATCGCTGAGTGACAGCCAGGCCACCTTTCCCGCCGCCCCCACACTCCGCAAACACAAACACGTACGCAAGCACACACACACACACACACACACACGCACGCACGCACACACACACACACACACTCCTCCTGCAAACACAAACACACACTGCTCGCCAACACAAACGTCACCTCTCCGCCAACATGCCCTCGCCAAACACACACCTTCAGCCTCTTTCCAAACGCAGCCCTCGCCCCGGCCGGTCCCCGGCCCACCTCGGGACCCTCAAATCCACACCAGCGCCGGGGCTGCCGCTCGCTGCTAAGCAAGCCTCCTGAGCCCGGCATTGAAATCGCCCCGGACTCTCCGCCGACTGTTGAAATGCAAATCGCTGCCACGGCGTTATGCACTTCGGGCCCCGTCTGGGAGTCGTTCCTCCTTGTCCCCCAAATACAGGCCTGCCCCTCCTCCAGCGGTCTGCAAACCTCGGCGTACGCCTTCATCGCCCAGCGCTCCTACTGTGCCCTGAGGGGGCAGGAAAGGGGGACCGAGGAGAAACGAGAGCGGGGAGGGAGTAAAAACAATTCCCAACTCAGTCCGCGGGGTGCCCCATCGGGCTGAGAAACCGCTGGACGGAGGGGTCGATGTGGATTGGGCCCCCACTGCGGACAGGAGCAGGCTCGGCGCCAGCCCTCACCCGCCGGGAAATCGACCAGAAAAACAGGCGAGGAATATGAGCGACCGGCGGCGTCGCGGGGGTGGGGAGTAGATATTGGGGCGGGGCCACGCTTAGGGGGTAGCTGGGTCAGCTTGGGAGGCTACCGGGGAGAGATGACTGCGCTGCACTCGGCCTGTCTCCCGCGCCTCCATCCAAGCACGTGCGGAAGACTTTGGAGGCTAGATCCAAGAGGAGGAAGGGAAAGGAGTGAAGGCAGCAGCCCGATTCTTCTACTCTAAGCCGAGCCCTTCGAATGAATGGATGCATGCAGGCCAGCCATAGTGACTTGTTCCCTCGCCTTCCGCCTAAAATTCGGCCACCCAGACCACTCGCGAGTACTCGTGGGTCCTTGCACCGCGGCGCATCCCTAGAGCCTTTAGAGAGGCGGCTTGGGGAGCGGTACGGTCACAAACGGTCTCGACCTCGCCCACCAGAGGGCGCCAGCTCAACTTTCCCCTGTCCCTTACGACCCCATGTCGCCGGAGGGAGGAAAATGGTTCCAAGCCTGACTGCCCCCTCCGCCTTGGCTCCCGGGTGGAAGCATTTCAGGAAAGTCCTCCTGGAGCGAAGAAAGGCGTTTGCGACCCTGATCACCGCAACACAGACAGGGGTCATCTTCCTTTGTCCTCGACGTGAAGAAGGGAGGAAAATTGGACCCCCTAGCTCCTCACCACGGGGCTGGGGGGAGAACCTCCTTCTCTAGGGATGTGTGTTGAAGACAGAGTGATTTTCCATATTGTGGGGACACGCTCTTCAGAGTGACTTCACTTGTCCCAATACCAGCCCCTTCGGGTTATCTAGGGTGCCCTCCCCCTTGCCTACTCACTTGTCCAGCAGCTGATGCGGGGAATTGGCCTGACCCCCACCAGGCCCTGTTCTCTGTCCATCCTCAGCCTGTCTGGGGAGGTAACAACGTTTTGTTTGTTTGTTGGGCATTGCCCACTTCCACACCTCCCCCATTAACACAGCTGCTGAACTGCTGACCCTAGAGCTGGTAACATACACACTCATCCTCAACCAGGTACATCTTTTTCTCTTCCTGGCACAGCAATAGCCAGGCCCCAGAACACCTGATTCCAGGCACCAGAGACCCCCAGACCAGGCGATGTGCCAGGGGTCAGGCATCCTTATCCCAGGAGCCTGATTCCCAGGGGCCCCTTTCTGCCCCCATATGCCAGGCCACCCGGACTCTGGTTTCCCTGTCACCCAATCTGGCCAGTCCCTTCCATCTGGCCCCTGGAATCAGGTTTCTAAGGGCCCAGCCCGCTCAGAGACTGCCTGCAAGACTTGAGGGAGGAGCAAAGACTGGTCCCCAGCCCACCCCTCACAGGCTCTCTGGGCCTGAGCCCCCTTATGGGCTAGGGATGCACATTCCTTAGGCTGCTTAAGCCCGCTTATCAGTCCCCCTCGCCCATCAGCCTGAGTGCTGACAGAGGCCCAGACCCCTTGTTTGGATGCTGATAACCTCCTGCAATGACCCTCCCCCACCTGTGGGGACTGGGAATGAGCTGGGTGTTGGGAGGTCCCCTTCCGCCAAGGCAGCTGGGGCCCAGGTCTGGTCCTGGCCCAGGGCACTGAGGATAGCAGGACCCCACATTTCCCCACCTTCCCCCAGGCCTAGGGCCACCCTTAGTGCTGCCACAGTGCCATCTGGTGGTCCCTAGGGAAATGTCACCCTAATATAGGAAGAAGCCACACAAATGAGTTGCAAAAAATGTCACTTTATTTCAACTTTCATCCAAAAATGTAAAAAGTGTTAAAAATGTATAGTTCTGAGCTTCAGATACTAACCTCCAATCCTCATAAGCAGGTGGAGAAAGAAGGTCAGGATAGAAGTGAACTCCCAACCCAAGAGAAAAGGGAAGTTCCTCCCACCCCTAGAGAAAAGGGAAGCCCCAGGCATGGTGTAGGACCAGAACACCAGGGCCCCATGGAGAACAGGCTCCCTTCTCTCCTACCACCAGCCCAAGTCCCTCCCTCCCAACCCCCACCCCAAACTCTCTTCTTCAACAGAGAAGAAACATTTCAAATTCTTGGAACTTGTCCAGAAACATGGTGCATGGCACACGTGGCAGGCAGCAAGCTGACCTGAGAAGAGCAAACAAGGGGTCAGCATCTAGGCCCTCTCCTGTTCCTCCTGCCCACTCCCCCGGACCCTGCTGGGGACCCCTCCCCAACTCACCAAGAGGGGCTAGGGCCTGCCCCTCTGCTTTTTGGCAGGAAGAATGGGGCACAACTCAGCTTCCTCCTCTTCACTGTCCTCTTCCTCGTTCTCCTCTTCTTCAGAAACATCATTACTTATAGTAACTGGTGGACACACAAGCAATAGAGGGAGACAGAGTTTAAAGCCAGACCCCCTTCACACCACGTGTCATTTATTCACGCTCTGTGGTGATAGGCTTGCAGAGACCCTGACTTCCCAGAGCTTATGATCTAGGTGGTAAGAATCTCAGATACGAAACTGGGTATCAAAGAGCCAAAGGAGTCCACATCACTGGAACTGGAGAAGCTAGGACAGGCTCCATGAAGGAGGTAGGCTTGAGTAGGACAGAAAATGGGAGGCACATCATGCAGGGCACACGGCCTGTATGGGGTCTGCACTGGGAGATGAGGCTGACATGGGGTAGGAGTGAGTAGGGAGAGGCCTGACAGAGAGTCTTCTGGAGGTAAAGAGGAGGGCCCTCCCCTGCTCTCACCGATCTGGTGTCGCCCGGTGATCCGCACAGGGCCTGAGCCAGACTTCAGGCGGAAGGTTACAGGTGGTTGGAGCTGGAAGTAATCCAAGCTAAGCTGGGAGAAAGACAAGGATGGAGGCCTGGCCCACTCCATCTCGTGATGAGTACTAAAGCTCCCCCCGCCCCACACACTCTCCCATCAAGGAATGGCTGGTAAACTCACCATGGGCTGGCAGGACAACTTGAGGTTGGCCACAGGAACTGCAATCTCCTGGTGATCATGATTCCGGGCCACAACTTCCACCACATTACACTCGTCCTTGGCCCCCTCCGTGAGGCAGAGCTGGGAAGGGTACACAGGGCCTCAGGGTCTCCTCAAACGAGGGTTGACACAAGTGGACACATCTACCCTACAACTTGCCCGGCCTAACAGATCGCTGGATCATTTGGCCATGAGAGTCGCCCATGGGGAAGTTAGGCAGCGGAGGTGACACCCAGTAAAGGGGTGGGGGGTGGGTAGAGGCGCACTAGTTGCCTGCCCCCTTCCCCGCCCCTCACCATGGTCAATGCCAGCACGTGCTCCGCATCATCCTCTTCCTCTACCTTGAAGGTGTAGGAGCGCGTGTGACCGGAGAGCTCACAGCCTGGGAGAGAGAACTGTGTGAGTATGCGTGGGGGGAGGGGAGACGCGTTTCACCAACCGCCCGTTACGTGCAGCCGCGGACTGACTGGCCATTTACACGCCCACCAGACGTCCCTTCTCTCAGAACACCTCGGGCGCTTGGCTCTGAACCCCGCCCCGCATATCTCCGCTCGAGCAGGGGAACAGCGAGGCACCCCTGCGCCCCCTCTCCTCGGGGAACAGCGAGGCACCCCTCCGCCCCCACTCTCGTCGTGGAACCCTCCGCAATCCTGTGCCTCACCCATACCCCTTGGCGTCCCAGCACACCCTCAGCCCTTCCCTTCCCTACCGAAGAAAAAACTGTCCATAGTAACCGGGGCCGGGACCCGCAGACTCCTGACACGCCCAGCCCGGACTCGGCTCTCCTGACTCAAGAACGCTAAGGCGGCGGCCGTGCCGGCAGCCATGCTGTAAGGGCGGGCTCCAAACTCCGCCCCCGACACGTACAAAGCCGGGGACCGCGGCCGTTCCGGCCCCGCCTATTAAAGGAGACGCTTAGTCCGGAGAGGAAAGGCATCGGGACCGCGCGGGAACGGGGCTTCTCCGTCCGGTCTCGCCTAGGAGCCCGCGGCTTCTGCTCAGACTTGTCAAGAAAGCGGAGAGGAAGTAACATCACAGATGCACGGATTTGGGCTTAATGTTAACATCCTTGGTCATTTCCATGACTTTGAGGGCATCCGTTTCCTCCAGCTCCTCTATATTGTCTCCCGCTCTTCCAACACAGGGTAAGCTTTCCTTAAAGGGGTCATTGATATAAGCACGTAAACCTTTCCTATTCCCTCCTCCAGGGAAGGCGGGGTTCGGGGCAGCGCTTTTCTTATAAAAGCAAAGGAAATGCGCCCAGATTTGACTTTTCCCCCAGAGAGCCGAGAGGAGCTGAAGGAACTTTCGGCTCCAGAAATTTCCACCCAAACCCTTCCATTCTCTCAGCGTAAGCCTTTCCTAGATAGGCTTCCTCCTCTGACCCTGCAACTACCCAGCTGTCCAGATGATATATCTTCACTGAGCTTCAGATTCTAGCTGGATGCGGGCGCTTGCTAGTAGAGTACTAGTTAGCTCAGATGTGGGACCCAACTGCTGCTCCTGGCAGACCCGTTTTTGAGCTTGTAATTCCGAATCAGCCCATAAACATCCTTCTGCCTCGGATTCTCTTTTGTCTCACAATTTAGGTTACTCCCCATCTTTCACCTTTTGACTAAATCCGGCAACCTGTATATTCCCTCTCCTATAAGACAGCAGAAACAAACTGCCCGATTTCACACCCAAGTTATTAACTGTAGCAAGAACTTTTGCCTTGCTTTAAGGAAAATCTGGAAGTCCTTTACTGGGGATGAGAAAAGGGGAGGGCTGCCTTCAAGAGCCAACCTCTACCTTGGGACAGCTGTGGAGAGGAGGAATACATGCCTGTACGTGAGGCATGGAAGATGGAGAAAAGGTGGGGGCAGACAGGAAGTAGGTTCACACAGTACACCATCACACACATTCACTTCAAGTTTTATTTTGCCTCTTGCATGGTCTTCAGATAGTTTTACAGTTCGTTTTCTACAGGAACTGAGCTGTGATCTAAACAATCAATGAAATGTCATTCCAACCTTAATAAATATTCATAACCATGGAAGATAGCGTAGCACTTTATGATCCTAGAGTGATAAAGGTATAGACCTGGACATCTGTTTCACAGTTAACACCTGTGACCAGAAGACTAGTCAAACTGATTATTAAAAGTCAAGATGAAAGCAAAAGCAAACTTGCTAAAAGCCCTGATTCCATGAGGTTGATCCTGAAATAATTCAGGTAAAATGCTAAAGTTGTCCACTAGTGTTCCACATGTATTCTAAGATAAAACCGAGTAAATTTCAGCCATCTTAAACAATAACTAGTAGGGATCTTCCCTTCACCTTAGCCCTCAAAAGTGCAAACTTGGTTCCAGCTTTCCAACATACTACATCCTTCTATGGGTTAAAGTGGCCTCCTTCCTTCTTACCCATTCACTGCACACTCATAGGCCTCAGTTGGAAGTCACTAGGTACCACTAGGTATAATGCTTTAAGACTCGCAGGGCTCACAGGAATTCTATGAAGGAAAATACATTTTAACTTTCCTCCTCTTTGCCCTTTTCTCTTCTCACTCAGCTCAAAGTTAAACAGCTGATGCAAAACTGCAGGGAAGCAAGTAACAAAATACTGTTATGAATCTGCAGAGAAGTCAGCCAGCCACGATGAAAAAATGAATCCTGTAGAGATTACCTGCCAGCCTCATGCTCAGACCCCTTAAAAACACCAAATCTAAATTAAAATACGTGAGGCTTTCAGAATCTGTGGTTAAAGGAAAAAGAAAAGGGTAACCATAAATCATTGGTTAAGGTATGCTCATTCTTTCTTTCAAAATTAGATACAAACATGCAAGAATTAAAGACACTGATTTAATAAAACCAGTAGTAATAAGTCTTGGTTAAGAACTGATCTAAGGGCAAATGGGACCATTCAGTTCCCAAACCCTGACAGGTGTCAAAACTAACACTTCACATGCTGACCTGCTATTGAGGGTAATTTCCAGAAGTGACTGCACTTTGCAACGGACTGAGTCCTATGAAGTTAGGCTCTCGTACCCAAAATGGTCATGGCCTAGCCCTAGGAGGGAGGCACTTTAAAAATAATAAAACTTCTCAAAAAAAAAAAAAATGCACAGAAAGACAAAAGTAAATAAAATCCACCTTCCTCTCATTTACATTATTCAAAGTGCCATCTTCAACCCATACCCTTTCATTTTCAAAAGGAAAAAAATATACAAAAATAGTAAACACAAAGGATAGTCAGGTTACAGCTAGTTTATATACAAAGAAATTTACAATTTTGTCAATTTTAGGCTTTTGCCACAAACAACTGCACATTTGTCCCTACAAAGCACAGCACAACATGCCTGAACCAACGGTCACTACAGAAGACAATTGGCCAAGGCTTTACAAAAAGCAGGATAACTGCCCAAAACTGAAATCATTTATCCAGCTTAAACTAATACCACAAACATCCCACTTGGAATCTTCACCCTGAAGCCTCTGGAACCCACTAAATCTTTCTCATTTCTGCCATCTCCCCCCAAAATGAGACATTTCAATAAACCAAGGAAAATGACAAGTGATTTTGGTTACTCTTTAGGTGAGAAATGCAACCACACTGGATGCAGAAAATAGTGCTGACTACATTTATTGAAGACCACCTCTCTAATAAGCCCATGTAAGAGGTCTTGGCACCTAACACAAGACACAAGACCCAAAAAGGAGGCCCACATCTGTTTCATACAGGATTTGCAGCAATACTATCTTCTTCCAACCAGTGAGTAGCCTGAAAGTACAATGGGTGAGTTTTACAGTCTTCTTTGTTTCCAATCCAATTGGCTGATATGTTGCCACTCCAGAGGCCGAACTGTATGAAGACCCCAACCACCCCCACAAGGTGGAATTAAGAGACTTTTGGGCAGTTCACAGTGCCAATAAATGTCACAGGCTCCGACCAAGTATAACGACATCCTTTGGAAATCCTTCCATTTTTGCAATTTCAAAACAGCCTAGCTTGCTGTAAAATTCCAGAATTCTTTTATCATCTGGTCTCACTTCACAGAAAGCCCCTCGGGAGCCTAGAAGTAAAACAAATATTCAAAACATAAATGTTATTTAATTAGTAGAATTGTGGATATGAATTGGAATTAATCTTTAATATATTTAATAGAGATAACAGGGGCTTGTCTCTACCCACTCCTAAATTTTGTACCACACTTTTAGTTTTACTTTTTGGTTTATTTATTTATTTTTTTGGTGGCTAGCCGGTATCCACAATTTTAATAGTCAACAGTGAGTGAAATTCTTCCCCAGAAAGAAAATCTTTTAGGGAAAAGGGTATAAGACCCTTCAACGCAAAGGACACCTCTGTTCAAAATATATTAAGTACCTTTCAAGGGCCCACAGGGCAAAGCCTATTCTAGGGTATGTCACGAGCCAAGATAACCAGAATGTTATATATTCTAAGATACCCCACATATTTGATGATTCAATTCCAAGTACAACACTGAGAATCATCCTTTCTTGAGATAAAGTTATTTAAATTATCCCACAAAGAGGATACCACTAATTCAAATGATATAAAGATGCAACAATAAACTAGGTACATTCTCATGTATCAATAACCATCTAATGAGGGCTTTTTTATAAGGCCCAAGGGCTAAAAATGGTTTTTACATTTTAAAGGGTTGTTTTAAAAAAAGAATATGTAACAGAGACCATATGTGGCCCTTAAAGCCTAAAACACTTATCTGGCACACTACAGAAAAAGTTTCATATCATTAATGTAAAGCAAAGTATTTTTGAAGGGTGCGTTTACATAAACTCTTAAGCAAAAATTACATTCCTAAAATAACATTTCTCCCTAAGGTTTAATTTTCCACTATTATTTACAGAAACCTGGCAAAATAAACATAATCTCATGTGTTCACTTCTCATTTAATTGGGGCTCAAAATAAGTGTTCATAGTGTAAAAGAGTAGCAGCATTTTTAGATGATTAATACACATGAAATTTTATACAAATAATTCAGAAACCAAACAATAAAAGGTGGAGAAGGAAGTGAAAATTCACTTCTTTCCTTTTTTTTAAATTCTAAAATACAGTCCAGCCCCTACCTTGCCCAAACACCCCTAACTCCACAAATATGTACTCACCATTAGCCTTCAGTGAAGACAGGAGGCAAGCCATCATGCTCTTGGCCACACTTGGGTCAGTTACCTTTTTGTGAATATCCATCTTTATTAGAGAAGGGAAGTTGGCAAGGAAAGTTTCTGGCAATACTTCCTGTTCTTCATGGAAACTCAACATTATTTTCTGTAAAAATTAGAATCTCTTGACTTTCAATAGCTACCCTTCACATATCTATATCCCAACTACAGAACTCAGAAACAAGGAAAGCGATATTTAATACCTCTTCTAGTCATTACATAATTATCACATGCAGAACTAATTAGTTCGTAATTCTAGCTGAAGCATTTTCACTTTTAAAAACAGTCTGTCTAAATGCAATGTGATATTCTGGACTGGACCCTGGAACAGAAAAAGGACATTAGGAGAAAATAAAGTTTGGAGTTTAGTTAATAGTAATGTACCAATATTGGTTTCTTAGACTTGACAAATGTAGAATGGGTTAGGGGTATACAGAAACTCTGCATTAACTTTGCAACTTTTCTGTAAATCTAAAATTATTTAAAATAAAAATTGTTTAAAGTTAACATTTTGCTTACACAAAAATGTGAATGTACTTAACACTATTGTACACTTAAAATGGTTAAGGTAAATTTTATGTTATATATACTTTACCACAATTTTTTTTTTAAGTTTGTAATAGACACTTTTTATATGTTCTTATG